GATGATAGTTTTCTGGTTTATCTTCTGGCTCTTTAGGGAATCTGGTCTGGGCCGTGTAGAATCCCTGTTCATAGAAGCTTACATAAGGTGTTAACTTTTAAGCACAATCATGGAACTCTCATTAGTAGATTCAGTACAGCTTTGGAGGGGATGGCTTAGGATGTTTTGCTGAGAATCTTGGAAAAAAATTCAGGCTGGTTCTCCCTGGAAGAAGAGTAACACAAAGGCTTGAGGGAAGGGAAGGTTATTCTCAGGAAGGGTAATTACTTAACAATTTTCCAGTAGCTCTCCTTACAGAATGGTAATTCAGCCGTTATAAGGTTCGTTTTAGGTTCCTGTTTCCTGAAGAGGAGTGGAGAACTGAACTGTGCTTTCATGTGCATATCTTTGCAAGCTTTCCATGTAGAAACGGTGGTATTGTCTGAGGGGGCAGTCTCCTCTGCTTCCCTAACTTCTGATTGCGTGTTAGCGTTTTCCATTACAGATGGCTACTGCCGAGGAAGGAGGTTTTAGTTAGTATTTGCTGCTTTTAAGAAGTGTCTGGGAGTAATGCATAGTCGCTGAAGTAAGTAGGATAGTACCGCTGTGGGAGCGAGTTGCAGGTTTCCCCTTATCTTCACAGCCTTTAAACTGGTTTTTATGTGAATTCCTGGCAGAGCCCTATGCGATGTGCAGTAGCTGTGACTTGTCAGGACTGTGATACTGGTGTTCTGGCAGTGTTAGGTTGCTGACCTGGGCCTCAAAGAAGAGATTTCTTCTTCATTTTCTATTATCCTTCAGCTTGTGGAGTATCTTGGTTGTGTTGTTGGGCTTCAGGCTGTGTTTCTGAGGCAAGACTTGTTCTGGGAGATGGTTCCTCTCGTCTGTCAGACATGAGCATTGGAGAGATCAGAGTAGATGTGAATCTCTGTTTTGAGAAGCTGCAAGTGTATGCAAGGATCCTAGGCTGCCTGTGGGCTGTCAGCTTGTCTAGAAGCCCAAAAGCTGAAGTCTTTCACATCTGAAAGGCGTATACTTTATATGTGGATTGCATTCCTACCTGCACTTCTCCTGCCTTCTCCATTTTCTTTTGCTGCCTAATTTAGGAAGACCTTGGTAGAGCAAAGACCGTTCCTTCTAAAGTTGAAGAAACCACATCTCTGAAGCAGTTTGAGAAGGAAGGAGCCAGTGAAGAGGATGAATAAACACACATCCTGACCCTCACAGATAAACTTGTTGGTTGCTCTAAAAATAGTGGCTTGCAAGAACGGGGGGGTGTATTTGGGTAGGCGTGCTGCGTGACTGTTGAGAGCTAATCTACAGAGAAAGGAGAGATCTATTTAAAAATGGATGACCCTTGGCTGAAGAAGAATATATAAAATAAAGGGATGCCAGAGATAACTAAGAAGGTAATCCCACTGGGTTTATCCAGTGAGTATTAAGAATTCTGTGAGGTAACTGACAGTGCTTTGTTTTCTCTTGGGTTGCTGCTGTGCTGGGGATGTGAAATACTATGTTAAGGTGTTACTCTTTGTACAGCAGAGGCAATTTTGAGGGAACAGGTAAGATAACTGTTAAGACTCAGAACTGTTCATTCTGTTTTGAAAGAGCACAAAGTCGTAACACGCTTCACGGCCTTATTTGCTTTTGTTGTAACATAATATGAGGAAAAATGCTGTTTCCTCAGGAGAACAAGCTAAAGGGAAGAAGTAAAGGATTTCAGGCTATTTCCTGAATATGCAAGGTCTGAATTAATACAGAGGTTTTTCTTAGTTTTGGTTCCTTTTTTTCCCAGGACATTCAGAAAGGAGGGAGGTTGGATACGGTTGCAATGAAGGTGCATACTTTCGTACTAGACATTGAGTTATGTAATAAATATTTCAACATAATACAGAATAAACTAATACAAGCTAGATGTTATTTAAAGTCACTATGGCAGATGGAAGAAGCAATGCTTAGTGTGCGCTTTGCTCTGTAGCTGCTTTCTAAAATGTGCTGGTGATGTTTGGCTCTAACAAATAGATTTACCTAGTCACCATTTGACCAGAAAGATCTGTACTGAAAGCATCAAATGTAGGGTTGTCTTCTCAGAAGGAAAGAACTTCCCCTATGTCCTTTGACTGAAAAGACGCTGCTGTTCCTCCATTTTCTGTTTTGTGTAGATGGGTGTTCATCCTCATGGCATAACTGATTCAGGTTTCCTGAATCTGTTGGCTTCTTTTAGCGGGAGAGTTATGTAGGTATTTTGGCATTTCATCTTGCTCTGTTGTTGTACAGGAGTGAGAATGTTAAATAATACCAGTGGGAAGGTGCTTACTTGCATTCTAAAACTAGTTTCAGTGTTCACTGGCTTATTAACAGTTTGCTTCTCATTCTTCACTGTCCGTGCTAGTCTTAAGTGCTTCTGAAATTCTGTGGCTTTGGTCTCCTGTAGAGGATTGCATATAATGCTAATGTCCTTACTCTCAAAACGGAAGTGACTGTGTGCCCACTGGCAGTGTTTTGAGCAGGATGAACAAAATCTGCCTGTGTATACCTCATCTGAGAAATTTTTCTTTTCTCCTCCCAGACTGGTGAGACATGTGATGCAGGGAAGCAGTGCAATCAGAGGCATCAAGCAGTTAAAGTACTGTCAAAAATCAGTCTAATTGTAAGCCTTTTTTTTTCCTTCTGAAGAGAATTATCTGCAATCTGCACTCTGCTCGCCTCCAAAGGTCTCAGACTACTGCCTTGCTCTTCGGTTTTCTGCTTGCCTCAGTGTCATAACCTGATAAAAAACCCCGCCATCCTGCTGACACCCCTTGCTGTGTCCTGGCAAGTTAGAGCATTTGTGACTGACTGGAATTGAGCATCTGTTTGATACAGAAGCCACGCAAGCAGGGAATTTGTTAAAGATGTACAGCCAAAAAAGCTGAGAAGAAAGCATAAACCTGAAGCATAGTATTTGTTTTCTCCTGTGCTTTTAGTGACCAGGTTAGAGGCTATTAGGCAGAAGGAACAAGACTAGCTGTTAGACATTCTGCTGAAGCTGGTTATGGATCTGAAAAGTCATATGGTGACAGGATTTTTAAGTATAAAGCCAAACAAAAACTGAAAGTTCATTAAGAGCTAGATCAAACCAGTGCAAGTTACAGAATGAATTCCTCAGTTTGGGTTTTAAACAGCCTCTTAGATCAAGAATTTGAGAAACTGCTTGCAGTAACTGTTGTAGTTTTATAGTCTAGTTTTGTAGGTTTACACTATGTTTCAAAAAGGGAAGGGGAGTAATTTTCGTTTCATTTACAGAACTAAAGGTGTAGGTTAAAAGCTATACTTGTAAATAGTTGGAAGCCCGTAATTCCACTGTTTAAAGTCAAAGTCTTGCTTGACTTTAGCCAGAGACTAACTTTGCCTTGCAGAGCCTTCCTACTGCTGTTTAATACTGGTATCTGAAAGGGAAGAATAACTCTTTCTCTCATCCTAGTGTATACTTGGTTATTGTCTTGCCAGAGCTGACAGCTAAATTTGGCTGACCAGTCTGACTTTAAAACTTAACTATTCTTAGTGCTTTCAGATCAATAATACTGTGATTTAAAATAGTCCATCTGTAAATATTTTGCTAACTGTATATTATTAGAAGGTTTGAAGTCTTATTCCTAGGGTCTTATAAGCAGTCCTAGTGTGCTGTCTCGTTGAGGAATAATATGCAAGCTAGGCTTTTTGCTGGGAGACAGGATGGCAAACTCCAAGCTCTTGTGTAGAAAATTAAGCATGCAAAGCACGTTTTTCTTAAAATAAATGGGTCATTCCTCTGTGAAATCCAGTGTAAACAGGCTTTATAAATCAACAGCTGAGAAGGCTGCAGAATGCCACGTATAAAGCAGTGTTGATCTGGCTCTGTTTGAAGTGCACTAGCTGTGTACCTAGCAGATGCACTGGTAATTCATCCATTGATTCTCTAATTGCTTAGAACTGAGATGTGAGAAATGGAAAAGTGATTGTTCATCTGTCATAACCTTACTAGAAGCTTTGTAGGAATCAAACAGCACAATTCCTGCTTCTTGGTTGACAATGTAATTCTGCAGCATTTTGTGATGTGTAAACAGCACTGATGTGGAGTTAATGGCTCCTAAACAACACCTATACAGCTAATAGGTTTGAATGGGCTTTTTTTTTCTAAAACTTTGACAGCAATGCCTTGTAGCCTCAGACCAAGGCAGGTTTCGTTGGAGCCTGTCTGCTGTAGGATTTTTAGGAGTTGCGTCTTTGTAGGTTAGTGCAGCATGGGAGATTGGCTGCTAAATAAACTGAGCCTACTGACAGACAGGATGGTTTTAGAAAACTGGGAGAAGTAGGGTCAGCACAATAAAAACAAACAAATGAACAAAAATCCAACAAAAAAGTGCTTGGAAAGTCAGCTAGAAGGTGTGGTTGGTTGACTTGTACTATTACTTACCAATAGCGCACATCTTTTACACTTCTTTAGGAAGGCTGTCCAGAAATGGTATTCTGTATTTTACTTCAGGACTATAAGTTGCAAGACAGTTCCACCTGGGGTGGGAGATGCTGTCACCTGACAAAGAGGAAAAAAAGTCTAAATAGATTTAATGCATTTTAAAACTATTTGACATAGCATGTCTCACATTGTTTTCTGTCCCTCTTTTGCTTTAACATTCTTGGGCAGTGCTTTAGTCTGCACCTGCCTCTTAAGTTCTCCATATAATGTGTGCGTTGTTGTGGCCTCTAATCCAATTAGTTTGCTAGCTCTCAGAAATGCTATATGAGAAAAGTGGTTCACCTGGGAGAAGGAATGCAGCAAGCAATTACAAGCTAGATGTGACTGCTGATTCAGAGTTGAAGTGACTGCAGGGACAGTAGGGTAGGAGAACAGGTGGGGATGTAGCTTTGGAAATCAGCTGTCTGAAGTGTGGATTTCTGCAGTGAGCAGTTTCTCTGTTTTGATTCATGTGGTAGTTCTTGTGTGCTAAACAAAGTGGGCATTTTGTTGTGTTTTGTTTTTTTTAAAGGTGGATGATGGCGCAATGAACTGTTCAGGTTCTCAGGCTCAGGCACTTCAGAAGAGAAGTTCAACTGTTTTGATTTTTCTGGAGTTCTTTAGCTCTGTAATCTGTATTTGGGCCTCATTTGTATGTTTCAGGTAGAAACTGCTGGATTGAAATGTGCTTAAAAATGTTAGTAAACCTAGGTGGCATAAGGGAAAGGTTGTGGTTATACAGTACGGCATTAACCTGGTTGCTTTGGAATGGAAATCATTCAAATGTGCAACTGTAAAACAAATACGTTGTATAAACAATTTCTTTCTTTGGCAGCTGTGGCAAGCCCTGTTTTGTGGCAGAAGGACTGTGTGAAGGGTCCGGAGGTATGGTGTCAGAGTGTTCGGACAGCATCGCAGTGTGGAGCAGTGAAACACTGCCAGCAGAATGTCTGGAACAAGCCTGCTGTAGTAAGTGTCAACTACTGAGACTTCTTCCCACCTGTTCATAGTTGAGGTAGCTGGTTTGCATATGCTGATGAAGATTTTCCAAGTCTCTGATGGAGTTAAGTGCTACATCTGACTATACCTGGGTTCCTGTGCCTTAATTTGGGTGCTAGAGAAAGGTTGCTTTCTACTTCTGACTTGTGCAACTTGTCTGCTGACTTCTCCTGTGACCTGGTGCACAATTACCAAGTCACGTGTGGAATGGAGCTAGTGGATTGCAGACTTGTTCCTCTTTATTAAAACAACCCATAGAGCCATTTCGTATTTTTAACTTGAGCAATGCCAAACTGATAGGCTTACCACAAAAAAAGCTGCATGCTTCTTTAGGCCTTCCTTGTAAATTAATGTTCCGCAAAAGATGCAGCGTATGCTTGGTTATGAAAGTTAAGACAGTAACAAACAGTCTTGTTTAATTTCTTCATCAATGACCTGGATGAAGAGTTAGAATGTACCATCAGCAAGTTTGCTGATGACACCAAACTGGGAGATGTGGTAGATACAATAGAAGGCTGTGCTGCCATTCAGCGTGACCTGGACAGGCTGGAAAGTTGGGCAGAGAGGAACCTGATGAGGTTTGCACAAGGGCAAATGCAGGGTCCTGCACCTGGGAAGGAACAACCCCATGCACCAGTACAGGCTTGGGGCGGACCTGCTGGAGAGCAGCTCTGTGGAGGGGGACCTGGGTGTCCTGGTGGACGACAGGTTGACCATGAGCCAGCAGTGTGCCCTGGCTGCCAAGAAGGCCAATGGCATCCTGGGGTGCATTAGGAATAGTGTGGCCAGCAGGTCGAGGGAGGTTCTCCTTCCCCTTTACACTGCCCTAGTGAGGCCTCATCTGGAGTACTGTGTCCAGTTCTGGGCTCCCCAGTTCAAGAAAGATGAAGAGCTACTGGAGAGAGTCCAGCAGAGCGCTACGAGGATGGCGAGGCGACTGGAGCATCTCTCCTACGAGGAAGGCTGAGGGAGCTGGGCTTGTTTAGCCTGAAGAAGAGAAGGCTGCGAGGGGACCTTATAAATGCTTACAAATATCTGAAGGGTGGGTGTCAGGAGGATGGGGCCGAACTCTTTCAGTAGTGCCCAGTGACAGGACAAGGGGCAATGGGCACAAACTGAAGCAGAGGAAGTCCTCTGCGGTCTGCTGTAGGTGACCCTGCTTCGGCAGGAGGGTTGGACTAGATGACCCACAGAGGTCCCTTCCAACCCGAAACATTCTGTGATTCTGTGTAAATGTTATGTTTAATATGACTTTTCAAGATGATTTGTACTAAATGCGAGGGATGCTTTACTAGATGTAGCTGTAGTTTGTGATACTGTTTCACAGTTTTTTAGGGGAAAAAGGCATTTTACTTACACATGCATTCGGTCTGTGTTAGCTGTATCTGTGCTGAGATATGTTTCAGTTTGAGGAAAAGTAAGGGAAAGGAGGAATGTCAGAATGGCAGAGCACAACTAAAATGAGTGAAGCTGCCTGAAAAATTGTTAGATTTCTAGTAAGTGTGAACTCTTTGAAGAGTAAGGTAAAAGAGGTTCAGGAGAAGGTTCCTTTGGGAATATGCTTTATACTTCCAGGGAGGTGGGACTAGATGAAATGAGTAAGTGGTAGTATGCCTGCTTCTTTGTACCATGTTGGTTTACTGAAGAAACTGGAGCTGGACATGCTTAGGATAACCTCACTCCATTTAAAAACACCTCTTCACACTGGCTCCAGCCAGTATTTCTTACTTAACTTGAATTTCAAATGTGATACTTGTTCTTCATATTGTTATTTGCACACTGCATTTACAGGTACTTAATTGTGTCTCAAAGTAACACTTTCCTTCACTCTCCAGAACAGTATCCCCTGTGATTTGTGTAAGGAACTTGTGACAGTGGCTGGCAAGGTTTTGAAGGATAATGGCACCGAGGTAAGCAGAGCTCCCCTGCTCCTTGCCCCAAGGCACTATTTGATTTCATTGTCTTAATCTCGCAAGGTGAGGGTGTGGAAGAGTAGTCTGCATGATGTTTTCCCAGCCTAAGCAGCAAATGTTGAAAGGGGCCAGAGTACATGGGAAAAGGCTCTTAAACAGCCTCTTCTGGTTTAGAGATTAGCAAATTCTAGAGCCTCTCATGCAGCGCTCATGTTAGAACACATCCCTGATCCATTGTAGATGCTTAATAAAATTGCTGTTGTGCCAGTGGGCCATTGATCTTAAAAGGTGGGATACTACAGTCTCTAGAAGTGGGTGATTACACCAAATGGACTTTATTTGGGTTGTGGGCACTTCTTCCCTTTTGTGAACCCTGGAGTACTTGTATAAACAAATCACTGTCCCACTAGTCCACAATTTCACTTCCTCTTCTTAAATATAAATGATTCTATGCTGGCAAGACTGTGTTGTGCAGGCCTTGCAAGGAGTATTTCATGTTTTCACTTTGTCAGGGTCTCATCAAAGGTCCAGGTCTGGGGAAAATAGACCTGGTAAAACCTCATTCTAGTTTTGCCTGCCAGCTGCCTGCACCTACCCAAGTCCAAGGAGCTTTTTTTTTAGGCTTTGTCATGCATTTTGGGAATGGAAAGAGCATTTGAGAGAGATATTTTGATAGTCTGCAGCCCACCTCATCTTTTATAGGATGAGATCCGCTCTTACTTGGAAAAGACATGCGAGTTTATTCCTGACCAAGGCCTGGTGTCCGAGTGCAAAGAAATCGTGGATTCCTACTTACCAGTTATCATGGATATGATCAAAGAAGAGCTAGTAAGTAGATAACAGTTTGCAACTGTTGGAATTAAAAATAGTGCTCCTGTTGATGCCTGAATTTCTCTTCAACATAATACTGTGCATGTGATCCTTTAATCCTGTATGGATCACTCAGGTTGCAATTAGTGGTATAAATTTGAAGACTGCTTCCTTGCTATGAAACATTTCCCTTCCTACATCCTTCAGCTGAATGACTCTACTCTGAACTTCCTATAAAAGTGCCATCAGTCTAAAGCTTTATGTATGTGTGTTATCTCCTCTAGGATAAACCTGAAGTTGTGTGTAGTGCCCTGGCACTGTGTCAGTCCCTTCAGAAGCACCTTGCAGCAATGAAACTTCAGAAGCAACTCCAGTCCAATAAGATACCAGAGCTGGACTTCTCTGAACTGGCATCCCCATTCATGGCTAACGTGCCTCTTCTCCTTTACCCTCAGGACAAACCCAAGCAGAAATCTAAGGTAAGGGTGCGATGCTATTGCAGCGTGGAGGAGTGCATGTTTTTTGCTGCAGAGCTTCAGTGCTCCTTTATGTAAGAACTTGATTCTTGGTGAGGGATTGTTGTACTGGGCACAGAAGAAGCTGATGTGCTTCACCTGGGTGACTGTTTCATACTGAATTTTGTGCTACTGCATACAGACAGCTACCTTTTTTCTTAACCTGTGGGTTTAAAGCTAAGTAAGATGATAGCTGCAGTCACTGTGGACCATATGGATAATGTTGGATGAACAACCACACTCTATAAAGACAAGTCTTGTGCTGGGCTCTTACCCTCCAGGGCTGTAGTAGTCAAGCAGGTCTTGCTGGAAACAGTTTCTTCTGAGAGCAAGTTTGGCACCAGCATTCAAAGGAAGAAGAATTCTCTCACATTGAGTAATCTGCTAGCGGTGCCCTTCAGGGGTCGAATTTGTCTCTGAATCCAGAGGTGACAGAGTGGATCAGAAAGAACAAATAGTTGAAAAATGGGTGTAGATGAGACAATGAAATTGTGAGTAGGGGCTGAGTCTTGACGGCAAGCCTAGATGTGGGAGTTACAGTTGGGTAAGTGGAGAACAAGCTGCTGTGGGTGGAGCAGGTAAGATCTGTGCCACATTTAAAAAGCATCCCACTGGTCTGTAACAAAACCAACAGATTGTGGAGATTGGGTATCTGAACAGTTATCTCGTGTTTCAGAGCCAAATAGGTGCCTAATCTCCATCTAGTGGCTGGTGCACATACCGTCAGTAGCTTGTCTATTCAGATTAGCTCAGGCTTTTGAGTATTCTATAGAGTATTTATTAAGGCTTGTATATAGTTTAAAACAGCTTTGAAAACTTGTTAATAATGGAGGCTTCTAAAATGTGCTATGTGAAGATACATCAACTTAAGCTTCCTTTCACTCTTTGTGCAGGGAAGTGGGGATGTATGCCAAGATTGCATTCAGCTGGTTACTGATGTTCAGGAAGCTGTGAGGACAAACTCGTCTTTTGTGAAGTCTTTAGTTGCTCATGCCAAGGAGGAGTGTGACCGTTTGGGACCTGGAATGTCTGATATGGTAAGCTATCTTTTTTTTGTTTAAAAATCTGTTCATGTATGCAAACATAAGGTAGTTTGTTCAGTGCACTAATCCTTTCAATGTAATATATATTTAATAAAACAAAGGAGAGAGTAACATTTAGGATATCTTACACAGTATAATAATAACTCAGCACTGAAATCATAATCTTTCTGATCAAGAAAGTTGGGTGGTGTGGTGTGTGTGGGGCTGGGAAGAGGAAGACGACTCAAGATTGCCGCTAGCCCTTAAAGGCTGTTTTCAGAAAAATGATCTGGCAGGGTAATGTGGTCATATTAATGAGAGAGAGTGCTTTTGTCCTGAGAGGAAGAGAAAAGGACTCATCAGATAAGCACCTGTGCGTGCAATCATTGTGTAACCTGAAATGCCATCTTGTATTTGGGACAAGCTCTGAAAGACAACAGAATAGTTATCAAGTAGAGCAGGTAAATTAATGCTGTGGCATGTATTAGAAAATTCTAGATTGACTCTGCAGTTTAAGTGGTTTGATACTTACAAGGCTATTTTTTTCCCCTACTTCCTGCAGTGCAAGAACTATATCTCCGAGTATTCTGACTTAGCTATCCAAATGATGATGCACATGGTAAGATCAGTAGAATATAATGTTTGCTCTCAGTTCATTTTTCTGCTTTGTTTAGCTAACTTATTTGGAAACAGGAAACATTTACTGCACTTAAAGTCTGCGGAGAGCTCTTGCTGTGTAAGTCTTGGTATTAACGCTTTGAACTTGGCATTTCATTGTATAGTAACTTCAGTCTCAGAATGCTTTCTTTAGCATTTTTTCCTTTTCTTTCACAACCACTTCAGCAGTGCAAAAGGGACTCCGGTCCTTTGAAACACAGAAGATGCATTACATATGTTCTTTTATACTCTTATCGCAGTCCTGTACTTGCATCACTTCCCCCCTCCCCACCAAATGTTGTGTTAAGCATATCAGAGTTGGTCTTTGTCGCAGTATTGCAACATGGGTTCAAATGGTAGAGATAATGTGTCTATTTGAAGCATGACTAAATGTCCTTCTTCTGGAATTGCTATCTCAAGACTCCTGCTCTCAGGGCTCTTGATAGGAGTTGAAGTGAGTGGTACTGCACCAGCTCTGGTCTTCTGCAGAAACATACAAAATATTTTACCTCTGACCACCTCCATAGCACCTTTTCATCCAGAGATCTCAAAGCCTTTTAAAAAAAAGATGGGTAAACATTTCCTTAGGCAATGCAGTGCCTAGATGCCCCAAGTAACATAACAAAATATAGGTGAATTTATGAACAGAGTATGTGGCTGACTTGAGCCTGAATTTGGCAGCACAGTGGCCTTTTTTGTTTCCAGTTGCTAAAGGCTACTTGGAAGCTCATACTGCTTCTTAAGCTTTTGGGGGAGGAAGGAAACTTTTGTTCCAACAGCAGTTAGTTTCTCATTTTAAACATTGTAATGCAGTGTGTTGTTAATACCTGAAATTGGAATATGACCACACCTTGCATCCGGCTGAGTGTTGTTCAAACTCTTTGGAGGTAGTCTTGCCCAGGATGCTTTTAAGAACTTCAAATGAGTAATGCTGGTTAGCACTGTGCAATTAAATGTGAATTGCTGTAGCAATGCTAAGGATCTTTGGGATGGGGACCATGTCATATTCCATCATCATGGAAAGAGTGTATGCAGTTCCAAGTGCTTGACTTTTTTTTTCCTCTTAACTGTTTTCTTTAATTTCTCCTTTCTTCCTCTGTCTCCAATCTCCCCTGCAACAGAAGGATCAGGTAGGTGAGCAACTTGCCGGTGGTGATAGCCTGCTTGTAGTTCACTTCTTGCTCTTGAAGGGCTTGTAGTTCACTTCTTGCTCTATTAGCTGTGTACATGGTGTGATTGTACTCAGTGCTGACAGATACAAGGGATATTTATGTGATTACAACAGAGAAAGACTATAGACGTCCTCCAGTGAATCAGTCCTACTTCCAGCTCTGGATACCGGTTTGTACTACTGAGGTTTCAGCTTGATTATGCTTTGGTCAGTGGAGCAGAAAACATGCTCATTTTCATACAAGAAGGATAGATATAGAAAAAGCATGCCAGTGGCTCCTGTCAGCTTCTGGTTTAATGTCTGGGCTCAAAAGGGCTTGAGTGAAGCTGTCCCTGGCGCTTGTCTTGGTTAACCTTTAAATCTAGGACAATGGTACAGAAGTTTGGAGTATATGAACTGAAAAGAAGATGCGGGAGCACTTTACTCCTGCTTCCTAGAGCTATCTGGACTTTTAATTTAATCAGTCCTGGGAGACCTTGTGTCTGTCATCTCTCTGTGAGAGAACATGTTGTGTGTATGCGGGTGTTGCTGTAACATTAATATCTGGAAATGCTGCTTACAATGCATGAAGCAAAGGGCTTGACTTAAAGGTACTGCCTGGAGTAGTCTGAAGCAGCACTGTATCGTGGAGATACTGCCTTGGCCTGTGCGTGAGGTTGTGGCATGATGTATTAACTGTTGCATGAGCTTCTGCTGTAAGAAGCTTGATGCCCTTGTGGTGGGGTGGGATATGATCTTCTAATTACCTGTAGGACCAAAGGTAATTTTTTAGCTTAAGTAGACTTTAGGTGGGAAAATTCTAGTTTTATATATTACTCTGTACAGCCTTTCTCATTTGTGTGGGTATAATGTGGCCTTCTTAGAGCAGTTTGCCTCATGTCTGGCATTTAGTATTCCATTTAGTACTACATGTTTCTAAAACCTTTGAGAAAGACTTAGAAAGCCTTTTTAAAGGCTTCATTTCTGCTTGCTGTTTTCCCTCTTACTGTGAAAAGACGATTTGAAATGCAGTTACTGCAGATACTTGTAAAAAAGGTTAGGCTTAGATTTTAACATGGTTAACTTTAGTTTCTTATAGGCTTTGTTCAGTAATGAGGGAATTCGTTTCTGTTTGCAAAATGTGACTTTACTGGATGCTTTAAATAAGGTAGTTTGAGGATGAGAGAAGGAGCCCTTTCTTCTAGGCATTTCTTCAGCTTTTGGGTGAACTCTGAAGTCAGGATGATTAGCCTCTTCTGTGATTACTTAAAGTTTTCAGGGGAAGAGCTTTGCGGATACAGATCTAATGTGATGCTGGTGGCCTGGTTTGGTGTTGGTAGCTCTTAAGTCAACTCCTTTGAAGGGCTTGCATAGTGTATTAGCTCATGGTAGATGGGGTTTTTAAATGGATGTGGCCTAACTGCTTCATCTTTGAAAGGAACTGCTAAATCTTGTCTGGTAGTTGTCCTGCCTATAACCAAATCAAATGCTTTGGCAACACTTGAAGTAGTAGTAGTCATGAAACTTCTGGTTTTGTTGGAGCATGTTTCAACTTGGCTCTCTGTGCCTGCTCACAGGCTCCATAGAAAGGGCGGAGTCTTCTAGGTTTCTAAAAATCGCTTGTACATCTCTTTCCAGCAACCAAAGGACATTTGTGCCATGGTTGGATTCTGTCCTTCTGTGAAGTCTGTTCCGCTTCAGACTCTGGTGCCAGCTCAAGTGGTTCATGAAGTGAAAATGGAAACTGTGGAGGTAAGATGGACTTTCTATGCTCAACAGCTTTGCCTTTCTTTAGTGTAATGAACTAGGTGAAACAGAAAAATACGAGCTTTTATGTATAGAATAAACCAAGTGTATCTGCATACAAATTCCTGGCCTCTTCCTGTTTCTGATGCTCCTCTGTGAAGTAGGAGAGCTGACTGACTTGTTACAACAGCAGAGCCTACGCTGAACCGAAGTGATAAGGTAACACTTCAGGATTGAAATGTGAACGTGTGTTCCAGCAGTAGAGTATAGCAGCCATTCTAAATGACACCTTAAATGTTGGAGGGCAAATTGCTGAATTTGAGTTTTGCTCTACACTTGGCGTTACGCTTAGAACCCTTTTAAAAATGGGACAGACCTCTGCATGTGCAGAGGAGTGATCAGACTCAGAATGCTGAAGCTCCGAGTTTGGAGAAGCACCTTAGCTTCCCATGGCCTTAGGGTAAGACATGGGCTGACACCTTTTGAGAAGGAGAGCCTCTTTTGAGGACAGTTAACTTCTGATTAACAGACTCCAAACAATTTCCCTCAGGTCCCTCAATTTCTAGGTTTCTTTTGCAAACAGGAAGGTGCTCTCAATTCTAGTAAATAAGTAATTTTGTCCTCAATTTGTGTATTTTAAAAAAGCACTTAATTTTTCCCTTGACTCCAGTCACTGTGTCACTACTTATTTCTCTGTTTTCTAGATTCAACTCCCCTCTTTATACAACCTGCGGGTTGTAGTCTGAATTAGTCATACAAAATGACTGTTCATTCAAAAAGGCCATTTACTGAGACCTTTTGAGGTTGGTTTTGAGTTGTGTGACCTTTTGAATTCAACTCAAAATGGCCAGCTAGGTAAATTAATTAGTGTGCTGCACCTGAATGTAAATGCTGTTAGACTGATATTTTTTTTATGAATTGTCCCTGTCAAATGTGGTCAAGGGCTGACTTATTGTTTTGTATGTTTCTTATGTGTACTCAGAAACCCTCAGTTCAAGAGAAGACTTTTTCCTTGTGTGAACTGTGTGAGACCATGGTGAAAGAAGTGACTGGCCTCTTGGAGAGCAACAAGACAGAGGTGTGTAAGGGGTGGAAATGGTATCTCTTCATAGGCTTTGGCTAAAATGGGGCTGTATTGGAGGGGGAAGGAAAGATAATTTTATTGCCTGTTTTCATGAGCAAGATTTCCATCCTGAGTGGGACAGAGTAGGAAAACACGTACTTACAAATTGAGTCAGATTTCTGTTCCTCATTTGCCACGCATCCTTTGTTGTGCTTCAGGAGGAGATTGTACATGAAATGGAGATGATCTGCTACCTGTTCCCAGGAAGTGTAAAAGACCAGTGTAAGGACTTCATAGATGTATATGGCCAGGCTCTGATTGACATGCTCTTGGAGGCAACAAGTCCTGAAGCTGTGTGTGTTACGCTGAAGTGCTGTGCAGCCAACAAGCCTCCACAACAGCCAGGTTGGTAATGAGGAGTTAGTGGTGTTGCAAAATGAGCAAGTTCACCTATGATTGTATCTCTTTTAAGGATGCATGCTATAGTACTTTGCTGATGCTGCCTCCTTTCTTCTGTCTGGGGGAACTACCAAAGCACTGATGTTTGGGTTTTGTTTTGGTGGTTTTTTTTCTCAGTTGTAGTGAAACCTGCAGGTGGCTTCTGTGATATCTGCAAGATGGTAGTAGCTTATGCAGACAAAGAACTAGAGAAGAATGCTACGACAGCTGAAATTGAGGCTTTACTGGAAAAAGTCTGTCACTTCCTGCCGGAGTCTGTCAGTGATCAGGTAAAGCCCTTGTGCAGGAGGCGGGCTAAAAAGCAATGGTCTTGCTGATGGTTGGGGATGGTCCTTGTTGATTTGTTGGGTTTGTGTAGGTCCTACAATGACAATTATGCTTACCTCATTTTCTGAGTGTCTCGCCTGATATTCTGTCAACATACTAATTTCAGGTCCGTCTCTCAAGTGTCTCCGCTTCTGCTATAAATGTCCAGGTACCCAGAACAGAGGTCTCTCTGTTTTGCCAAATGCATTGGTCTTTGGTGGGAGACAAACTGTCCACAGGTGCAGCTGGGACTGGCTTGTGTTCAGCAACCTGATCCTTCCTGGGTAGTTCTCCTTGCTGGTTAGCACCAAAGTGTAGCAGCTGCTTATAGGCAGTAGAGCCAAGAAGAGGGAGCAGGCTTGATCTGAGGCAATCAAATGACCACACAGACCTTGCTGTGTGGCAGCCTCCCTCCCAGCCACAACAAGGCTGATAAAGATGAACAGAAGGATGAATACAGCTTGCAGAGTATTTGGAAAAACTAAAAAGCAGTGTCTCTTGCTGGTTTTTAAAAGAGTAGTCAGTCTTCCTCTTGCTAGAGGCTGGAAGGAGCTTGAGGTTCCGAGGGATTAGGTTTTTGTGCTCCCTGTCCTTGGGAGTTGGCAGTCCTTTGAATAGATGGAGACTTCTAAGGGCCTGAATTGCATGGCTGGATTGTTGTCCTAATTTGCAGTCAGTAAAGGTTTGCCTGGAAATCCTCTGAGAACAGTGGGTGTGAGCAGCTGAAGGTTTTTTTTCCTCAACACTGATCCTGTTCAGGGGATTAACAGAGTAATTGGACATAGGCTGGTGTAATTCCAATGAGATGGTGAAAAGCAACACCTGTTAGGCCACTGCTATCAAGGTTTACCTGGAAATCTTATTAGGTGGCTGCGAAGTGTCAACAAGTGGCAACTGCTTGTAAGTTTACTAAGCATACAACATACAGGCTTAAAGCAGCTATGAAACAGCTGTTCTTGCTAACTGCTGTGAGGCTGTTTAATAGCTGTGGTTGGCTTATTAATCAGTGCTGTTAGTCTCTGCTGTGAACACCAACATTTTTCTGTGCGTCTGAGGTGATGTCTCCACTAGAGGGCTGGCTGTAACCGATGGGAAGTGTTTGTGCTGCTGCCTGCTCTGAAGAGTAACCACTTGGGCTAAAAGTGCTTACAAGTCATTACTGCCATCCTGTTCAGGATGTTTGTCTCCAGCTTGGTCCGTGTGCTTTCCTCATGAGACGGCAGTGATCTCCACAGTTAGAGGCTAGGCTTTGCAAATCAGTCTGTCCTGCTTTGTTCTTTTCCCAAAGTCTGTCCTGCTTGGTACTTTTCCTTTTGACCCCTTTCTCCTCATAACCTGTCTGCAGACAGCTGCGGGCAGGTATGAGCTAGCAAAATGTGATGTAGTTGTGTGATTAGTGTGATGCTGAGTCCTGTTTGATCTGCAGAACTCAAGCCTCTGGTTTATTTTGGAGTAATGTACAGGCCCGCCTGCTGAAGACTGTATCTTCCTCTTCTTTTGAAGGCTTTAACAGGGGAATCTCTCAATCTGTTTTATTATTACAGTGTGTTCAGTTTGTGGAACAGTATGAACCTGTGGTTGTGCAACTCTTGGCAGAGGTGATGGATCCCACTTTTGTTTGCACTGTGAGTATTGTGTTTAGTTCTATTGAGTATGGGCTCTGATAGAGTCCTGCCTGCTGTTCTGTATGCCTTCCAGTGCCTAGCATGCAGAAACTCTGCTGAAATAAAAATCAGCGCACTGAATGCTTGGAGCAAATGTGGTTGTGCAAGGCCTCGGGCTTACTGAATGGACCAGCTGTCTGACTGCCAGCCTTGTGCAAGAAAGGATGGGAGAAGAGAGCTGCCAGTGGTTATCCACTGTTGAGGTTCAGTAACAAGGTGCAGCGACAAGAGGAAGTTAAAGGACACTTCTTGAGAGAGGTCCCTTTCTAGAAGCTCTGTTTCTCAAAACTTATTATGAAGAAGCAGTTGCTGTAACTCTTCCTGATGTCAGATTACTGCTTGATGTCTGCTCCTTCAGCTGCAAGTGTGACTGCAGTTGTCAGCTGAGCATGGTGCTGTGGGAGCTCCTGAAGCTATCTCGGTGTTGCTTCTGCACTTGGTCAGGTGGAAGCTCAGACATAAGGCTGGAGTTGAGATCTCTTGGTGCATGTAGAAAGATGTTGACTGCTGCTGTTCTTTTCACAGAAACTTGGAGTCTGTGGATCAGCTAAACAGCCTCTCCTGGGGGATGATGCTTGTGTCTGGGGTCCAGGTTACTGGTGTAAGAACATGGACACTGCTGCTCAGTGCAACGTACGTAAATTAGGATTCTGCCTCAGGTTTCCTGTGGGTCTCGGATAGCTCCTTATGAACTATGTTTCTGTCTTCTATACCACACTTTCAAGTGGGTGAATTCCAGTTTCGGGAAGCAAAAGGGTACTAGCTAGAAATGATTGAGTTTGATTAGGGGGTCTTCTGTAGCCCTTAATTTTCTTAAAGCAGACTGTTTCTTCCCCCATGTATACCAGTATTTCAGAATATATGGTAAGGTACAACGGGAGCTTTGCATTTAGTGTGTGTTCCCGCAGCCAACAGACTGTGTCACGACCTCTCATCGGACTCTAAAAATTGGCTTCATGTATTGCTGGGGCTGATGCTTTCTTTGCCCGGCTTTAATGGCTAAGGGTCGTCAGCATTCTTTCCTGAAGCTTCTAGGTGAAAATGCAGATGTTATTTATTCTAGTCCTCTCTGGAATCACGTACTTCAAGAAAAACAGATTAGCTCCCAAGATCTTAACTGTGAATAAGACATTGAATTTTGTGTAGATGCATGCTTGTTTGTAAACAGGCTTTTTTCCACAAACATACACTATTTCTTTCCCTTTAGGCTGTTGATCACTGCAAACGTCACGTGTGGAACTAGAAGAAGAATTTCCAGTTCTGAAAGTTTGCCATAGCTCTTAAAAATGTGGGCTGAGATTGGCAGAGAGCTGTATCTCAGATGTCCCTCCTCTCTGCCTCATTAACAATTTGACCTTCAAGTTCCTTTATTGTAACTCTTCTGTAGCAGTGCTGCCGTTGAAGGATCAGATCTTTATTGTTGACTTAACAAAGATATTTCTGATTGTACAGTTTAACTCATTATGCTCCTAAAAATAGTTGGTGTGTTGTAGATTTTTAGTTGGTAGGCCAAAGTGTTTTTTAAGTGCTGGGAAGAATGGTAGAGAAGTTGAAATGAGACAAGACTATTATCTTTTAATTTAAACAAGAATAAGATAGCAACTGAATCTTCAGATGTCTTTCTGTAGTCAGCATTGGGAAGATTACATGCTTTGTATTTTTAACATCTGGCTGGAATATTAATTTTCTGTGTTAACTATAGGGGAACTCTTAAGGGATAATGTTGAATGTGGAAATCCCTTCGGCTGGAATTTTCAGAGCTCTGCGGATGCAGAGGAGGGGACTTTGTGTGCCCAGCTGACTTGCAAAGTAACTGCTACCTGAATAGATGTATTTGCATTTGAGTGACCACACTTATGGCTCATGTGTTGTCATACCTAAGGAAACCCTCCCTCAAACTTTGATCATGTCCTTTCTATTTCCTTGGACTACTTGGTCTAAGCATGGGTGTTCTACTGTCAAGCCCCATACAGTGGGATTTCTGTCTTTTGAAGCATGCTGAGTTACCTAAGGAATGGCTCCCTTTTTTCCTTATCCTAGTTGCTCAATTCTGCTTCGTCTTGCAGCTTCCTACGTGCAGCCAGCCGGGTGCCAAGGAGGTGGAGCAAGCTGGGTGGGTAGAAGATGGAGAGGGAAAAAGTCAGCAGGGGCTGTGCATATGTCAGAGTAAGTTCAGCATAGAGGGCAGAACACATGGAAAAATGTTTTTTTATTGTAAACTGCCGCTCTGTTCCTTGATCTGTTTTTCTCTCAAAGCGTGTTAGTCATCTAAAACTTCAGAGGTGCCGTGAGGCCTGCGGGCAGTGCCCAGTGCTGCCATCCTTTCTCACTGACAGTTTCTCTTCTGAGTAGTTTGAAGTACGAACTTTTTCCCAGAGTTCCCATTTCTGTTTGGAAATGTGTCTGAGTAGCAAGTGGAGATGGCGGATGGTGATAGCGCTGTAGTAGGTGTTCAGCAGCTCTGCTGGCATACCTGACAACCTGCCTTTCACGCCTCTGCAGCATCCCACTGAAATGGCCTGAACTTCTGAACAAAAGCCTTTCAAGGCAGACTGCTGCCCTGGGAACAAGGCAGGCCCTTGAGGTATAGGGGCCTAGAGAATGAGAATCATGCTTACGTTGCTCGAGACAGACCTTGCATCCCCTGCAAGTGTTTAGTGCATAGTTCTGATCAAGTTAACCCCCAAAACAGAGGCACCAAAGTAGACCTGAGGAGACCTTTGGGAAGGAGGAGCTGGGCAGAGGTGGAGCTTTGGAAATTCCAGTCCTGTTCAGAAAGGTGCCAGCAACTGCTACTGTTCCTGTGGTGTCCTGTGTGAGGTGAGAGCTCCTGTAACAACGCTTTAGCAGCAAGCAAACTTATTTTTCATGCCGTTTAATGGAAAACCACTCTGCTGCAGCTTTTTTGTTACTGCCTGTACATACTAAATGTCTGGGCAGTGTTGACAGATAGCAATACTGGTTTGTCTTTCCTGCTTGCATTTGTGCAGAAGGCTGAAGCACTCATGGTTTTTAAAAAAAAAAAAAAAAAAAGAATTTTCCCTAAAGATGTAGAATACCTGAAGCTTGCTGTCTTGGGAGGCTTGTGCGGTGGTTCCAGTGGTGTATCCTGGTTGGGGTAGATATGCCAGACAGGACATGGGCTCTCTTCAGTATCGCTGCCCTGGAGGTATGGGGTGTGTTACACCACAGCGTGTAGAACAGTATTTGGTCTTTTAAAATGGGTGGCATTCTCTTAACATGAATTTGGGGGGGGGGAGATGGGGATGGATTGACACTTGCTCTTACTGGTTGGCAAGGGTATATTTTTCTTGGGTTTTCAGTGGTGAGGGCCACATGCTGGTGACCTGTGGGGCGAGATGAGCCAGGGAAGCCCTGTGCTAGCGCTGGGAGTCTCTTTAATTTTCTCCCTTCCTGTGGACCGTGGCACCTGACCCGCTTGAGTTGTGCTGGGGGCACACATGCAGTTGCGTTCTGAAGAACATTGTCTTGATTTTTGCACAAAAGCTTCCTTAATGAACAATAAAAACTTCTGTAAACTGATAAGTGTTTGTGTGTTTTATTTCCTTGGTGTGAGCTAGTTGCTGAAGAATCTTGTTAGCTTCGCTTAGCCTTCTCCTGCCTCTGCAGCAATCCCAAAAGTGTGGCTGGGAATCTGGGGCTGAATGGCAGGATTCGGGCTCCCCTGCGTTGCCGTGGCCTTGCAGCATGCGTGTCCCATCAAGCCTTTGTTACACTGAGCACAGCTGCAGGTCTGAGGCTTGCTGGGGATTGCCACCGCTGTGCTCTTCCCCGGACGGACGCAATGCCTGGTGTGAGGCAACAGCCCCGTGTTGCAATTTCTCTGCCTTGCGCAGGCTGGAGGGAGTTCCCGCTGAAGCTGCGTGATACCGTGCTGCCCTGCTGACTTGCATTTCGTGTGTCTTTCCTTTTCATTCCTTGTTTTACTTTGAATTAAGTAAATGTCTTTTAAATGCATTAAGCAAAAGACTTGGCTGCCTCTAAATACACCATCAAGTCACCTGTCCTAATTTTACTAGTCTGTAGTATCTCCACTGCTGACCTTTTTTGTAAGGGACGATGCTCTGTTTGGTGAAGAGCACAGAAAATTGCTGTACCACATGGCACGAGGACAGTTTTCCGTGCTGTGCCCACCCTTTGCTGCCTGGCACAGTGAGGGTGGTGGTGAGGTTCTGGGCTGGTTTTGACTTCCCGGGAGTACCTGCCTGGCCCTAGTCCCTCCCTCCGTTTGGAGGATGGTGATGATTTTATAATCAAGGCATAAGGAGAGGGGTGTGGTAATTGCCATGCGTAGGTGTGGATTCTCACTGCTTCTCCCAGCCCATCCAAGATTTCTCAGTCTGGGAGCAGCACAGGAGAGGAACCAGCCACTGAGGACTATCTTAGGAACGGCATGGAGAGCAAATGGAGTGGCTGGGTGCTGATCCTTGCTGTGTGCCTGGGCTCCTACCGAGGTAAGGCCAGGCCTGGGGGTAGGACTCGAGGAGAGCCTGGAAAACCCCTCTGAACCCCAGAGCTTCCCAGCTGTAGTGTTTAAGCTCCGTAGCATGCTTCTTTGTCCCTCCGTGGTGGTGGAGTTATGCCAGAGGAGAGGTGGCACAGGTGGCACTGCTGGATACTTTACCTCTTGCCCACCTGGATGAGAGCATTGCAACTTCTGTTCTGAAAAATGATCGCGGGGCAAAAAGTGGTTTGCTCCCTCCTTACTCTGGGCAAGCGGGACTCGGACAGAGCTGGTGTTCTGCCAGGGTGCGGAAGGAGGGAGGCCAGTTGAGGTGTCTTGGCAGCAAGGCAGGAGAGGGCTGCGTTGTCTGCTGCCCTCGGTGTTGGGATGTGGCTGGGTGTCGGGATGTGGCTGCGTACATGTGTCTAGGGGGGAAACCGTTGTCCTTGCACAATGGGGTGAGCGTGGTGCCACCTGGAGCTGCCCCTTTCCTGAGGGGCCTCGCTGGAGGTGCAGGAGACAGGAAGCCTCCTCTGGTGTGGACTGCTGAGCTCTGGGTTGGGTGATGGGCTGCAATACTGCAGCCCTGTGCACCCAGCACCTTTGGAGACCTCTCATCACCAGGGCTTTGGGTATCTGTGAGCAAATCCTCCTGCGGACGAGCTTATGCTGCTGGTCCCCAGGCTTCCCCCCAGTAAGAGCGAGAAGGTGATACCTGGCTCATCCCCAGGAAGCAGGTTGGGAAGAGCCTGTTTCCGACCCGTGGTCCTTGCTCAAGGGGAAATTGTTTATTCCGGGGGAAATTTACCTGGGGAAGCCACAGAGCCCTGCTGTGGTAGTCCAAAAAAAAGCCCTTTTAGAGAGAAGAACCCCTTTTACACCCTAATTACCCCAGGCTCGGCCCATCGGACGTGACCTGCCCAGGCATCGACTTTGCGGTGGAGGAGTCGTGACTGTGCGTATGTGGCCTGACAGTGGGGGACACGCCGAGGTGCTCCAGCCTGCAACAGGCAGAGCAGGAAAGTTCACCCGCGCTCGGCATGTCCGTCCTCCGGGCAACGCCTGCCTCGGCAGCCGATGGGGGCTCTCGCGAGGGGAGCTCGGG